GACAGTTGGAATCTTTTGGGCCTTGTGGGCCTTGTGGGCTTCGTAGAGTGTGAAAGAAAAGGAAAAAACGAAAAAGATTGACGTACAGCTGGCAAGTGGATAAGGACACGTTTGCCCTTCAAGTGTTTTTTTTAAGAAGGGACTGTTTGGTTTGTGGGAAAATTCATGATTAGTTTAATAATGATTTTCATTTTGATGAGAGTATTTTATTAAGAGTTTGGATTACATACGATTCTATCAATAATTATGATGAGGGGGATGGATTGACTGGGTTTTTCGAACAAAAATGTATTTGTTTGTTTTTATTTGCGGCGGCTTGAGTTTTTTGATTGAGATTTGAGTGCCTTTTCCAATTGCCAATTGGGCATGGATGGGATATGGAAGTCCACTCTTTTTCAAGAGAAAACAAAAGGGAAAATGGATTAGTCCTCTTGTTTGTTTGGTTTGCAATTCAAGATTTTCTCTTTGTACATGAAACAAGTTGATTGCCTTGTCTAATGAAGCGGCTAAAATTCCAAGGAAGGATCTAAAGTTAATTACTACTAGTAATTATGAAAGTCAGAGATTCTTAATTTGACTTAATGTAGTTATAAGTAACTTGTTCGGATTATATGCAAAATGAGCGGGAAACACTGTTGAAGAAAATCTAAATAATCAACGCAGCCTTGACCATATGGTGAGAGTTTGAGTTTGAGTTCTATTAGGGTTTTATTCAACTTTATATTGGTCTAGTCTAGTTCGTAGTTGTTTTAGTAGATTCCTTTTATTATGGCTTAAACGAAGGGCAGATTGCTTTTATTGCGTGTCTATCTTATTTTCTCTTTTATGTCAACTGTGTATTTTTTTTTTAACATTTGATTATGAGCTATATAAAAGAGAATTATCCTCTCATATTTTTAAATCTCTCCCCACCAAACTCACGACTCTATACCAATCGTATGTCTAAACATCATAGATGACATCCATTATGTGTAGCAGTGTAGGGTATAAATAATGAAATCTGTGATATATTAATGAGTAGATAAAAACTGTAGGGTTTTTTTAACATGTGTATTAAGAGTACATGTTAAAAATACAAGTTAAGAGTATAATAAATATATTTTTTATTATAAATTTATGTTAAAATAACAAAAATTAACCTTTATTTATCAACTATTTAATTAAATTTATTAATTTGATAATAATACTAAAATTAATATTAATTTTTATATTTTTCAATACATATTTATGATACAAATGTGATCTAAATTAGATGAGAATATGTCTTGCAAAACAAAAAGTGTTGAATGGGGGACAACCTCCACCAAAAAAAAGTCCACCTCTTATTCAATAGATTAAATTCGTATAATTCAAATGCACTAGACTTTTTTGAAGCTGTATGCCACAAATATAAGAGATTCTAGATGACAAGTAGACATTACATGCATGAGACAATGGCTTGATGGACTAATCCAAGTCAAATCCACATCGAGTTTCAAAGAACATCTTGCAATTCGCAAAGCCCATGATGTGCTGTAACATCTATATGGCAGCCCAAAAAGTGTTCTTACTTTCAAATTCAAAATTTCAAAATGCCCAATTATAATAATAGGCCCGTGCTGGCGAAGGAATAAATTGATCCAGTCCTATAGTACGAACCCAACCATGGATTTTCACTATTTGCTGTGGATCCTAACCAGCCTTAGCAGTAGTGCACTAGTATGACGT